GCAGATTGCTATGAGCAACAACCCTTTTTTTGTACTAGAATCTCCATAGAATTTCCTTCATGGTTCCATCACTGCAGAATGAACTCTAAAGAGATTTCTCTGTTAGTGGGCAAAAAAAATCAACTAATTAGAAACTGCAACATCTTTCAAAACTCTTTATCAAACCTCGTAGTTAATTAATCCTAATTAAAATATTCATTCGAAGCCAATTCTTCAGTAAGATGACAACAATAAGGTAGACAGTGTGACTTTTACTAGGAGGTTGGCATTTGAAAATTTAGACTACTGTTGACTCTGGGAGATGAAGTGACAGTAATGGGGAAATGAGAAAATGAGAGCACATTATCTGTAAGAGTGAGGAGAGGAGATACAGTCCATTAGCACTGCACATGGTGAGAGTCTGTGCATCTTCTGGTGTTACTTTAAAGAGTAAGAGCATTTTAGTAATTAAGGGCCCTATCTTAGACACCAAGCTGAAAGGGACTCAGTTTTCATCTCCACCTGAGACTTCCTTCACACTCTTGACCAAGCCTTGTGCCTGTTCATAACCTTCAGATATATGGAGGTAGAGCTTTTCAAAAAAAGAGCAAGCAGTTTTATACAAATGTATGTAAAATAGCACAAGAGAATGGATTTTGATAAAGTTTTTACTATCTCTTTGATAAGTCCATTAATTTTTATACCCCTGCTAACTGGAAAACTGTAACAGAGAAACCAAGGCAGAAGCACCACAAGTAGAACTTCTGTGAAAGAAGTGGGAGGAAAAATGAGCAGTGGGAAGCCAGAACTGTATTTGTATTATACATTATCCCACAGTTATAAACAATTTCAGTTCAGGTCCTTCAATAGGATCACTCAGAGGTAAAGACACTTGTTCAAAGTTTTACTTCAATAAAAATTTCTGCATGATTAAATTTGAATGAATCTCACAGCTGCAGATTAAAGTATTCGTGCTGCTTTAGCTTTGGTTCTAGGCTGCATTATCATACTATGCAAACAAATTTCTGTCAGTATTACAGCCTTTCACTGCAAAGACAGTGTAATTCACATCAGTTTGGTATCCCCAAGCAGCCACTGCAGCTGAGAAACCATTACTTAATTTGAGACAAACATGAGTACACAAAGCAAGCCAGTTAGTGTTGGTAAATTTTGATCTCAGCATATTTCATAAAGCAGCGTTTATTAAGAAGAATACCCCTCCCCTTCTCCATCAATGCCTATTAACAAAAGAGTATCTCTAACTGCTTGCATTCTATGGTCATGTTTCAGATAAAGGCAACAGGATATGTGCTTTGGGAAGATGCACTGCAAGCAGGCAGAAAATGAGACACAAAAATATTCTCAGATCCCTCTTTGTGTGCCTGCCTAAGCAGCACCTGAACCATTCAGCAGAGTAATAGATATGTATGATGTGGTTTTCCATGTCTTTTAATTTCAACAGAAGTGAAATGTTAGTAGTAAGTCCTTTAAGGTGAAATACTTCTTTCTAAAAAAAGACCAAAACAAAATAACCAAACAACCAAAAAATCCACAGCAATTTTAAGGTGAATACAACCAATAAATGAAAACCAAGTAGGCATTTTGATTCAAGTCCAGTTTTTTAGTCCTATATCTCAAAAAATAGTCAGTACAGTGCTTAAGCTACTATTGCTTTGTCTGGGGCAGTGAAATCTGCTTCAGAAAACATTATGCCTTCTGAATTGCAGACCTCTAAGAATCTACAGTATCTGAAAAGTGGTAAATTGATGTATTTCAGAAATGTGCTCTATCACCTGCATGTCCTGTGCATCAGCTTCAGCCCATTGCCATATCCTGCAGAAAATGGGTGGTTTGGACTAAGCTGGTATAGGCAAGGCACAGCATGCAAGAGGATATCAGCATCCTGCTTCTTTCACAGGGTTTGTAGAATTAGTAGCTGCTGAATTTCGTGGCTCTCTTGTTTATGATTTTGCCTCCGGGCACCTCTCTTACTGTATGCTCATCAAATCCTCACCTGTAAGATTTTGAAGGCTTTAGTATTATTTTACAGTCATTCTTCAGCAGCATTTTCTTATGCTTTGATTTTGTTTTCACACCTCAGCTGAAATTTGTCCAAACAGCTGAGCACGAAATGTACCCAAGAACAGGAAAACCCCAAGTACACAGTAATTTCCTTCAAATGCCTTCAAAGATTTACAGGACCTTCAAAATCACCGAAAACTATAAACTAGGAATACATAATCTGAAATTGGAAGGGGCCTTAAGTAATTTCTATTATACTGCTTTTCTGCAACACAGCTCCATTTTAATGTACTGAATCATTCCTGGAGTTTTTCTAAGATGATTCTCCATAGTATTATTTCGCAAATGAAAGAAATGTGTATTCATCCATTGGTTCTGAGGCCTTAAGTCCTCCCAGGAGAATTGCAAAAGGAACATAATGTTCCAAGAGCTGGATCACTGGTTGAGCTGATGGATGTGAAAACTCTAGTAGCTAGATAATAAGCTATTGGCTGCAGTTCTAAGAGTGAATAAATTATTTTAAGCTTCATAGTAATTCATGCTCACAAAATGAGTAAGGGTACCATCTGTTCGACTACAGACAATACAAAATTCTTTTAATTTGATATTAAATTGCTCACTTTTGACATAGCTGTGTCACTGGTGAACAGTCCTTATATTGGAAGGAGAAGAAGCAGAAACAATAGAAGCAGAAACTTACCTTTTCTGAACAATGGCAAACAATCACTTAGGCCTATAAGCAAGGTAGATAGAAATGTAATACATAATTTTGGAGTAATATATATATGTGGAGGGAGAATTTGAACTCTAAAAGGGGGGGAATGAAGAAGGAGGAAAGAAGGTAGTGAAACTACTTGGGGAATTTTCAGGTTACCTCACCTGTTCTACAGTGGTGTTAAAACTTCAAATAAGCAGGGTATCCTGCACCAGGAAACACAGGTACTCTCTACGCCCAGCTTACTTAATTTCCATGTTTCTAATAAAAGCCTTAACTAACTCCTGAAGTTCTCATTCATCTCCCTAGAGACCTTACAGTCATACCTCCAAAGTAATTTAAATTTTAAAATTTAAATAAATTTTAAGGCAATGGATGTGATGTGCTGAAAATCTGAGTAGAATCTGGTTTTAATATATTTTTTATTTTATAGCCTATCTATGGTATTATCTAAAAGTAATTAATTTGTGCTGCTTCTAGAGAAAGTGGGATCATTTCCTATACTCCATAAATATTTTTACTAATTCCTATTGGAGAATTTAGTTTTAATGACATTATTGCATTGGACAAAAGAAATTTTTAGTATAATAAGAAAAATGACCTGAAGTAGATTTGAAGAGCTGTATCATACTTCTTCCTCTTCTCTCTCACGAGAAGGATGGGGAATCAAGCATTCCTCCTCCCTGTGCTGGTAGTTTGCCAAGGCAGAGGAAATTAGTTGAGTCTACCACGGTTTACTATTCATATTACAAAGTACAAGACAGAATAGCTGCAGTGGATTATCAAACACAGAACAGTCAGGTTTTCCACGGCCAAGCAAGGTCCTGCTTCAGCTCCAAAGCAAAAGCCAACAGCTCTCCTGCAAAGGAGAACAGGAACACACTGATACAAGGTCAATCATAATGAGAACCCATATTAGCACTTCAGTTGCCTTTTCTTTTTCTTTTGGGGGGGCAGGGGGTGGGTAGGTAGCAGAGGAAAAATAAAATTTTCTCAATTTATATGCAGGATATAGATTTTAATGTATTTCCTAACACCTTTTCCTACATGCAAGAGCCAGCACAGGAAGAGGCTTAACCTGCTTACTAGACACAATAATAAATAGATGATCAAAGTCCTGTATCTCTAATTGGTTGCTGGATAATAAATAAAATAGGAGACTAAGAACTTTTAAGGTTTTCACCTTAAAAAACAGATTTTAAAATTTATTATTATTACTGCTACTGTTAATGGAAAAGGAAACAGTGATTTGATTATGTGGTCACACCAGAGGTGTAAGAATATTATCCTTGTAGTGTTAGCCTGAGTGGTTATAAGAAAAGAGAAATTGCATTCACTAAGGTCAGAGAAAACATTACAGAAATTAGACACAACTTAATTAGAATTGTAAAAGATTACTTCCTTGGATATGATACAGAAAAGCATGTTACATTTAGAAGGCATATGAAAAGGTACATGCTAATTGCAGGCATGAAGGACGGGCAAAAAAGTGTTCTTTCCTATAGTGGCTGTGAAAGGAAGTAACAGGGCATAAACAGGGTATAAAAACTTCTGGTTTAGAGGTGTATTGGTCATATATTTCTGTTTTAGGAATGCTGAGAGAACATCTAAAATCCTGAACAAAGACAAAGTCTGGAATAGAGGTGCAAGTATAAATCATCCATAACTAAATATGAGATTACTGAGACAAAGTGTATGGAGGGAAGTAAGATGGAACAATGGACACTGTTGTAATGACTTCTACAGGAAAAGAAAAACTCCTTGGGAAAGCGTCTTGAAAAAATTTCAGGACCACAGAAAACAATACAGCCATGAAAGACTGACAGCAGAGAGCACAATTTCAACAAGAAACTCATGCTGGCAGTGTCAAAGACCCTGGAGAACAGAGCAATGGTTTTGATCTTTGACCACCAGAATGAAAAGTCTGAAATCAAAAAGCAGTTCTAAAGCAGTGTCATCTGAAAGACTGCATTGTGGTCTCATAGCTCAAAGAAGAGCTGAATAGATCTGGGTTGGAAGAGACCTTAAAGATCATCTTGTTCCAACCCCACTGCCATTGACAAGGACACCTTCCACTAGAACAGGCTGCTCAAAGCCCCATTATACAAAAAATAAACTGATGTGATAGTTTTTTGGCAGATTAAATTAGGTACTTTTATTTGCAATGCTACTTTTAATCTAAGTTTTCCATGCATAGTTTCCTTTTTGGCTAGCAGCTTAATATCTTATATCACGAATTATGTCACAATTTGGATATTTTTTCCTCTCTTTTTTTAGGATTTAGTCCAGACTCTTAGAATATCTCTGCTGAAGGGTGGTGGAAGGACTGCAGTTCTGGGGAACACAGACAATGTTTCTGCACAAGCTGGACACGATCATGAAGAAATTTCACCTACAGTAAGAGAGATAATTAATATTCTAAGTGCTTTGTGAATAATCATGAAACTAGCATGCCATTGTTTAATGACCTCCCAGAGCTGTCCACCGTGACACAGTGGGTTCTCAGAATCCAGGGGGTTCTCAGAGTCCCAGGGGGTTCTCAGAGTCCCAGTTTGGCCAGGCCTCCTGCAGCCGCTGTGCTGCTCCAGTTCTGGAGGCAGAGCAGGGCACAGAGGCACAGGGACCTGGGTGCTTCCAGCTGGGATTCCTCCCAGCCCTGAGGGATGCTGAGCTGAAGCTGTTCCAGTGTTTGGGTGCTGCCTTGCCTGACTAGAAGAGACTGAGCAGTGCTAGGCTGTAGTCACAGCCACTTTTCAGGACCTGCAGCTGTGTTTGAACATGTCTGAGGTGACTTGCCCCAAGCCTACGTGGCTGAGATCGAAATTCTCACAAAGGGCTAGAAAATTTTCTAACTTGTTCTGTAGCTCTGTTGAACCCTTCATGTCTGCAGGGGAAAAAAAACCCAAAACTTTCTTTTTTTAATTTTTCTTCCCTTGGTAGTCTTGCAAAGAGATAGAACTCCTGAAAAGATGGTGAAACTGGGCTACAAAGGTGTTATGTAGGACATCTACATGTACCACAAAATACTTCTCTCTCTTACCACACACTACAAACAACTTGATGTTAACTCTGAACTTTCTATAACAAAAATAGCTGAAATTATTACAGCAGGAAGTAAGGAAAGGAAAGTTCTTTGTATTTCATAAGTATTTTTTCTATCTGCAAGTTTTGTAGTATTGGTCTCCCTCCTGTTCTTCTACAATTGCTGCTGCAGTCATGCAAATAGAGTTTTAAAGCAACTAAAATAAGAAATTAAAGTCTTCTAAAAATTTAAGAAGTGGCCTGGGTTAGACATGAAAGAATTTCTAGTGCTGTGTTAAAAATTGAATTTTTCAACAGTTAATATTCTATTTAATTATTTTGCTTTAAGATATGCAGTCTTTTATAACACACTCAGTAAATTGTCTGTTCAGTTATTAGAAGTCTGTGAAAGGAAGTTACAACTAATACAGCACATTTCCTAGAAGCTGTACTTAAGATATTAACGCTTCCTACTAAAGTAATTTAAATAGGCCTCTGAGTTCAATCACCTCTAATTGATCTTGTTGTGATGGCTTGGTTCCAAACACATTCTCTCTGCTTATTGAGATGCATTTCCTGTACAATAGTATTATACAAGCTGCCATTTATACTTCACTGTACATTTCTATATTACTACATTATTTTATTATAATGTCCTTGAGATCCACAGTTAGAGATCAGTTAATTTTCTCAAGTCATTTACACAGTAGGGCTTAAAAGTACTGCAAAGCTTGGCTGTGATAAGGTTCAACCCTTGGGATTAATGCCAAGAGGTGGCAGTGAGCTGCTGTACCACTGCACCACACTGCAGCAATTTTCCTAGGCTAACCCACAAACCCATGTATGCACTCTGAATCAATAAGCAGCATTCCAACGCAAGCATTTACAGAAATACTTCAGGTTTCCTAGCAAGTCTGATCTGAGGAACAACCCCACACTTTCAACCCTTGGGATTAATGCCAAGAGGTGGCAGTGAGCTGCTGTACCACTGCACCACACTGCAGCAATTTTCCTAGGCTAACCCACAAACCCATGTATGCACTCTGAATCAATAAGCAGCATTCCAACGCAAGCATTTACAGAAATACTTCAGGTTGTTCCTTCTGAGGAACAACCCCACACATTTCAGTCAAGTAAAGCTTTAGCAAGTATGTGTTTTAAAGGTCAAGGAGGGAGTAACTTCCTTTTTGGGATAAGAAGGGCCTGTGCCATACTCTGTTTTGGCAGAACTGTTCATCCTCATCTTGAGGCATGAAGTTATAAAGGAACCACAAAAATAGAGGACTAATGCTCCTACAAACAGGAGATTAATAGTGGGCAAACAGAAGCTGCCATGCTGAGATGATGCATGAAGGACATTCTCCTCAAAAAGACTCAAAAAACCTTTGCCTACTGGATAATAACAATAATGAGGATGTGGTGCTTGTTCTTTTTAAAAACATCCAACACCTTCAGAGGTTATACAGCAGCCCTGAGTAACCTGGAACTCATACATGTGCAAATACAAATCAAGTTGATTATGGTAATAAATTATGGGTTTATTATCATGATTAATTTGGGGAGCAGAGCGTTTCAGGAAGAGAGAACTCATTGCTTAGTTATTCCATAAAAAGAGCAGACATTTCATTTCTGATCAGTTACTTCACTGGAGTTGAAAGATGGAGAACAAAAAACAAAGTAAACTTTCAAGATCTTATGAATTATAGTTCCTAGTTGGGTTTTCTTTTATTTCACTGCAATTACTTTGAGATACATTTCAGCAGGGACTCAACCCTAAAACACTGTATTGTTAAGTAAGAAGCACACAGGAACAAAAGAAACAAAAATGAACTTTACCACAGTAGACACTGTACACCCTAGTAAACACTGTCTACTAGATTATATGCAGGTGATAATAATCTTTTTTCTAACATCTAATAGGTTTTTTGCCTATTGTTAGGAAAACCAATGTGTAATTTGACTTAGTCCATTCTAAGTAGTAAATTAATGTAAATTTTTAACTGGACACAAATCTTGATCTCTTACACTCTCTGATTGCTACACTTGAATATTTGTTACACTGCTGGAGAACACATCTAGTAGTGAGTTTCATTTCCTCAACAGAGCTGCTATTTTCCAGTGCACAAAACATTAAGACAATCTCTAGAGGCTGTCAAGAATATCATGCTATTATAATAAAATAACTGTTATATTAACTAGGAAGATTCTTAAAAATACCAGTAGCATAAAAACATTTGAGGAAGTAGGTATTTTGTTATTAATTCTTTTGTTAGTTGAACATCTCTAATTTTAGAATCAAAATACTTTGAAGTTAAAAGTGACACAGTTGGAACATAGAGTATTCTTCTAACTCTTTAGGCATCATATTTAGTTAACTGGTCACACTTACTGCCAGCTTTATTCTGCTTTCATTTTAGTATTTTTCTTTCAAAATCATGGATTCCACCTCCCTAGAGTTAGTGCAGCAGTCTGATGGACAAAGCCTTGTCTGTACCAGAGATCTCCTGATTCATTTTTCCTAGGGCAATTCACCCATCTATTCCTTCATCATTGGTTTTACAACAGAATTGCTGAAAACACACACAGAGTTATACAGAAAAGGATACTTAAAGTCAACACATAATTGAACTTAGATTAAATTTTAAGATAAATTAATTAGTCTTCTTAATATTTTCCAGAAATCAATTATATCATCAGTGATGCTGGGGGTATGGATTCAAAGTGTAATCCAAGAGAAGGAGATGGGTATGAACACAGAGGGATCTTAGAAATAAACTGAAATAAGAAATAAACCTTCCTATATACCCTGCAAGTATTAGTAAGTAAATGATGGCTGTGTACAGTAGGTGGAGGAGCAGATATTAAACTGGAGAATCTCAAATACCTGTAAATCTCATATATCATCAGTTCTTTTTAGCCTATTAGGATTATGATGAGTTATCTTTCAAAATCTCTTCCAAAGTGTTCTGATTTGCCTCTGATACATGACTGTGGTCACTGTAAATTTTAAAAAGCTAGACAAAGATAATTCAGTTTCATCAGTTCAACTTCAAACAATAGTGACAAGCCATCTATTCTTATTTATTTTCATTTCCTATTCAGCTCCAGCTGCAGCCCAAACACAGCACCATAAACTGTGAAGCAGGAGTCTGGGGAACAAACAGTTCATGGGTCTGAACAAAAGGACTAGAGCACCTTATTAAAAATAAATTCTAGTGCTTCAGTAATAAAAAAGCCCTTAATTGTATCATAGTGCCACCTTTACTACCTGAGCAGTGAAACTTGAAGGCTCTAAAATTGCTCAAAGGGCTGATGATTAGCACCTAGGTAGGTCTTAAACTATCAAACTCAGTGTTTTTCTATTCTTGAATTGTTAGTTGCTATCTTGAGAAAGATTTTCTTTGCATCCAGAAACACAGGTGTGGCAAGCAGTTAGAAGAAAATAAACCAGCTGCTGCTCTGCATAGAAAATCACTGCAAGTCACCAGTTACAGGTAATAAAGGAAACACTGGCAAAAATCCACTACATGATACCCCAAACCACTACTGTTTATATTCTGTGCAGTTCAAAAATAACCAATGATATCCAGTCACTGTTGTCCAGGTCTGCAAATCTGCATCCAATTTGATTATAGTGCATGAGAAATGAGAATGCTATTTCCAATTTCTGCCAGCCTGATAGGCTACAACTGCACTCCTGCAGCCCCAAGGCAGCATATTTTGTTTCTTCAGGACAAGCCTTATCTGAGATTTTGTTTTCTCTACATTTTCAACTTTCAAACTTAATTTAAGCTCAGGTGAATTTGAGCATTTTCCTCAAAGTTCTTTTCTTTATCACTGAAATGATGACCTGATGCAGAGGAATTAGCTGAATAACCCAGTCAAGGCTCTTCTCAACAAGGCTGCTGTACTTTACATCTGTCAGGAGTGCTGAGGTCTGGGTGAAGTTAAGGAAGGAGGCTTAGAGCAGTGGAGTAAAGAGAGGCAGGAATGGAGCATATGTATAAAACAGTATCAGGAACAAGCAACATAAGCAGCTGTGTCTTTAAAGCCTATTTGCAACAAATAAATTAAGGAATGAATGCCTTTTTTTTTTTTTTTTTTTGGTGGAATTAGGAAGCTAACATAGGAGGATGACTGACTAGAAAATTATAGGGCACAAAAAGACAGCAGTACCAAGTACCAATGTGCAAACCAAATGGAAAAAAATTGTTCCAAAGCAGGAGCAGACACTGCAGGTACCTAACTTCTATTCTTACTATAAAATCAAAATGTACATTAAGGAAATCTGTAATTAAGTGTGCCTTCTATGAAACTACAGTAAATAAAAGCTATTCAGAAGAGCAGGAAGTGACATATGGTCACTCCTTTAAGGA